GGTGTGGGTGGGGGCTCAGGGCTGGGGCAGGGAGTTGGGGTGCGGGAGGGGATTCAGGGTGTGGCTCTGGCCAGGAGGTGCTTATCTCAGGCGGCTCCCGGAAGTGGCCAGCATGTCTGGCTCCTGAGCGGAGGGACCAGGGGGATCTGCGCACTGCAGGTGCTTCCCCTGCAGCTCCCATTGGCTGCGGTTCCTGGAAGAGAAGAAGGTGATTCCTTCCTGAAAATAGCAGAGTGTATCCTGGGGTACATTTCATGAATACCGTATGTTCCATATACTTGCTGGAATAAATGCACATGGGAGCTCTTTGCCAACATGTGGTTTTACACATCTCCCAGCCAAATTCAATTCAATTCAGATTCAAATACAAAATTCAGCACTAAGGGATTTCAAATGGGTTTGTGATACTTTCTCTGGAACTTTGATCGTATTTCATTCCTCCTGCCATGTGATGGTTTTTGCATCTAGGACATATCTATTGTGGATAATATTCTGCACTTTGGATCTGATTGTACAAGCCTTATTAAGGTGAAAAAACAACCCCCCCACACACATTTCTGTGAGGCTTGCTTGAGTAAGGGCTGCAGGATGAAGTTATTCAATACAATTTACAAATCATTTCATGGTCTACAAGGGAACAAAGTGTCTTCCCCATGTAGGCTAAGGCAGTGAAAGTGGGAGGGAAAGTGGTTCTGTGGCAAGCCTCTCATCTTCTCCAGAAACTTCTTTGTGTAGGTGGGCATCTGAGATCTGAATTGTGTGGTTAGGATTTTTGGGTGAATTGAGTTGGGAAGTACCTGCTGTATTGCACCATTCCTCTGGCAGGCCCAGCATGGATTTCCACTTCGAAATCAGCTCAGGAGTTAGACAGTATTGATAAATGCAGTACAAGGACCTTGACAGGTGTATGGAGTTAACACTGGTTGGACTCCCCCTTTTCACCTTCTGTCACCTTCAGCAGGAAGATCTGGGCATTGTGCTGTCATGGGGAGGTCACCAGGGAGGAATGCCTCTCTTCATTGAAGCTATGGGTCCCAAAATCAAATCACTTCTGTCAAAGTGCAATGAATTTAATGTACTACTATTATTTAGTGCCTGATGTTTGGGAAATGCTGGCTGGACTTCCCAAACTGTAAATTTTGTAGTAATTTACACCAAGACTTTCTTCTCACGTAAGCCAGTTACTACAGCATAGTTGCTATGGCTTGACACTTGAATTTAATACTATGAATTCTGTTTTTAAATGCACCTCTCTAGAGATATTATCACTTGCGTATCCCTGTATCTTAGGATAATGCAGAAAAGTTTTAAGAAATTCCATTTTTTATAAGGGAAACAGCTATCCTTGTTGGTACCATTTAAACTTTTATTTTTCCCTATTGTGTTTTTTTTAAGAGACATTTTCTTTTTTTCCCTTTCCCTCCCTCTTCCTTTTTGCCTTGAGTATTTTTAAAGCAGTAGTTCAAGAGGACACTTTCAGGCTTGTTACATTGGAATTTTGGCAGAAAATTTTAAATGTTCACTATAGCACTTCCAAGTTAGGAGAAACTTGGTTTTGAAAACTGATGCTGATATAAAATGGCATATTTAATGACAGATGTATCTAAAGAAAGCTGTTAAGATGCAGATTATCCCCCTGGGGAGGGGAGATCAAAACTGCCAATCTATAAAATGTACTTGTTAGGGGAAGGCATGGAATCTATCTATGCAAGCACTTTGATTGCAGGGGACAGTGTAGCAGCATGTGGCATCATAACCTAAGAGCAGACAAATCAGCTTGATGACTTTCAAAGCCAAGAATACTGCTGGAGGCAAGGGTACTCCAGTCTAGAAGAAATTAAAACATATAGAGACTGTTATTAATTCCATATCTATTTTTGTGTAGTCAAATCTGTATGCAAATCCTTAGCATCTCATTTTGGCAGATTAATCTAAAAGTGACGAGCGGCATGTGAAAGGAATGTAATGATAAAACACCACCGATGAGTAGTATTGAGCAGGAAAAATCTAGGCTGTGTACAGTACTTGGTATGAGGGGCCTTTTTAGGGGGAAAATAAATGGTTTTTATTTCTTTGATTATTTATGAATTATTTTACTAGGAAGCAACCCCTCCACCAAACAAAACAAAAACGAAACAGTTTCCAGGCTTTTCTTTCTTAAGAGTGACTTGGTAAGAGGCCCAACATCATGTTTCCGATATACCTCCTGTAGTTTAACATTTAGAGGGAATCAGCAAAATAACTGATTTGTATGTTTCAAAATAGTAATCTGGCATCTCATTTCTAAATATTACTGTACAAGAGAAAAGAAATATGCAAAAGAAATTGAATTATGAAAAAGATCATTGTGTAGCTGTACGTACAGTTGACAGTATACAAGGATGTACAACAACACAGAGCTACATAATATATCCTGAGGTTAGGAAGGGGAATAATCAGAACTTGCCTATGCATATTGTGGCATATGTAATCTACAAAGGCTGTGATAGACAATAAATGGCAACATCTTAGCATGGTGGAAATATTTTGAAATAACACCCTGTGTCTGGCTTGTCTGTTTAGATTGTAAACTCTTCAGAGCAAGGACCACATGTTATTACATGTGTGTACAGTGCCTAGCACAATGGGATTGGCATCTCAAGACATGGCTATAATATAAATAATCAGTGTTGTCACTCAGCAGTAAAGGGCAATTTGCTTTAATAGATTTGTCCTTAGTTTCTCCTAGATGTGTAAAAATGTCTGGAGCTGCAAGACATTGAATGGGAGGCTTTTCCTATGAATTGGTTGTGCTATTGACATTGTAGGATGTAGCTTGCTTTTTTCCTTGACCAGGTGTAATATTGTTGCTGCCTGTATTCTAGACCATAGGTTGTGGTATAATAAATAATTGACTTTTGCTTAGGTGAAGTTAAAGATTTATTAACCCAGGATATTAAAAAATAATCACAGCAGGGCACGATGAAATCTTGAGGTTAACAAAATTATGGAGACAACATAGATGTTGTTACAAAGTTTCTAAGTATCTACATACAAAATATCTGGAAACTGCTCTCTTTTGGACATTACCTTTAAGTATTACATTTAAAAAAATGAAAGGGAAGGTGAGGTTAGAGGTCAAGGGGAAATATGATTATAGCTTTCTGATGAGCAGCCCGGAAGCAGATTTTGGCAAATTATTTATTAATTCTGATTTTTTTAAAGGTAACAGTGCACTCTGCCCATAGGAAGACATATGGTCAGATCCTGGGCCCCATTAAGGTCACTTTGTGCCACCAGACTGCTTCAAAGAGCAATTGAGGATTACTGCAGCATGGGAGAATTCTCTGGCCAGCCCTCCTGGCCACTATCTCAACCCTAGGGTCATTTCAGGGTTTGCTGGGGACAAGAGGAGGTGGAGCTGAAGCGCAGTGCATGACTGGCCCCTTGGGACTAGTTTAGCCAACATGAATTAGAGCTCGTCTGTGGCTGCTGTGACTTGCACTGAAGGCTGATCTACCCCACCCTCTCGCTAATCCAAAAATCAGTTTAGAGACCACTTTCTCTCCTCCATGCTCTGCACAGTTGAGGATTGTCGCTGACCCAAAGAATTTCTTAAGGCTCTGATGCTGCAATCCGGTCTTCGCGGTGTCCCAAGGATGTGAGTGTGTGAAGGGCTTCACCTGTGTGGATCAGATTACAGCATGAGGATGAACATTTAAAACCAAGAGAGCACAGGGTGATCATATATCAAATCATTAATGTGAAGCATCAATTTGGGCCAAATAAACTATCCTAGGCATTTTGAAGGTACCTTTCATCTTTGTTTGTAAATTATATTGACAGCTAAGCAGCCAAGATGCAGTATTTGGGTATGCTTCTTGGCAATGGTTAATGGTGTTTCAGACTTAACCATTGTTGAAGGAGCCCACAGCATACATATGCTAGTTATTCATATGGCTACTTCCATGAGCAAGATATTCTCTTCCTAAATACAAATCTCATTTTGTTTTTCTTTCAGAATTATATGTGAAAGTGATTGTTGTTCTAAGATTCAGCACAATGTTTCTGAATGAAAATGATGCCCCATAGTGCCATTCCTGTTTGGTTACAGCTCTAATCCCCACCTCCAACTCCTAAATTTTCTCCTGTCCTGTGGTTTACTCCATAGGTCCTCTCTTCTCTTTGACTGCCTCTTAGATTGCATACTCCTTGGAGCAGGGACAGTCTAGTCATTTCACCTCTCTGTGCCTCGTTTTTCCCATCTGTAAAATGGGTATAATGATATTGACCTCTTTCATAAGTCATTTTGAGATCTACTGACTAAAAGTGCTAGGGATTATTATTAATCTTTGTCTCTTGAACAGGGATGAGCACACGGAACCACAGAAATGTAGGGCTGGGAGGGACCTTGAGAGGGCATCTAGTTCAGCCCCCTGCACTGAGGCAGGACCAAGTAAACCTAGGTCACCCCTGCCAGGTGATTGTCTAACCTGTTCTTGTCTAAATCTCCAATGACAGGGATTCCATAAACTCCCATGGAATTTAACTATCCTTATAGTTAGAAAGATTGTTCTAATATCTAACCTAAATCTCCCTTGCTGCAGATTAAGCTGATTACTCCTTGTCCTGCCTTCAATGGACACGGAGAACAATTGAACCATGCTCTTTATAATAGTCCTTAGCACATTTGAAGACTGGTCAGTGTACTAAACAAATAATATTATTGTACCATGTTTTAGCCTAATGAATTAGCTTTACACAGAGAGATTAATTGTTTATTTGTTTGTTGCTGTTTTGCCTTGTATTCTGGCAACATGGATCAGCTGTACTAGTTATTAACTAGATCAAAGGTCTAACTGTGTGAAAGTAAAACTGGTAATAAGTAGTATAATTATGTCGTAGATTTAATACTGTGATATATAAAATTATAGTCCTAAATGTGCTTGATTTCTTTACTAAGATCTTGGTCCTTTTTGGTACTCATGAAAACATTTTAACCCATGTAAAATCTCTTGTAGGAGGAGTAACAAATACTGCACAATACCAGAACAGGCTAATGGTCTATGATCCTAAGCAGGTGAGTTTCTGTGTTGTAAGTGTTTGCTTATATGTTTGAATGAACAAGGTATATAACAAATGTATATTAAAGAATACTGGCAGATCAAAAATACTGCCAATTCAAACTGCTAGTGTTTTATACCTACTTTCCACTGTTGTAAATGATTATACATGTACAGAGTAACAGAGAATAAGGGCCACTGTTTAAAAAAATAATATTCTTTAACTGGGTTACTGAAAGCATTTTAGATTAGCAACACTGAAAACATGTTAAAAATCTACTTATTTGTCACCATTTATTCTGCTTCTTTGCTTTTTGCAAACCATTAGCTTTGGACAATGCAAATAAACTAGTCAGTTTCACATACTGGTTCTCCAATGGTTGCCCAGTGTTGCGATATTTCTGCTCCACATGCAGCAGAGAAATGTGTAAAACCAAACAAAAGTGTTTTCCTGAACATAAAACTATTTCTATTAATATTAGGGTTTGTAAAATTTTCATTTACCACAAAAACATAATTTTGGACCTACACTGCCCCATCAGTGATCTGTTAAACTGATTTATTGCAAAGCAGTTGATTAAAATAGATATTTTTGTAAAAAAAAAAAAAAAGAGAGAGAGAGAGAGAGAAAGAAATCTGACCATTTTTGATATTGCTAAAGTACCTATCACTTTATTATCTGAGCAACAAAAATATCTTTTAGGAATTTGGTCATACATTATGTGTTTTGTTTAGGTTAAAATTCTCCAGTAACAACTTCAGAGCACTGGGACATGGTAATATGTCCTTTCTTCCTTTATTAGGGAAACAAACGCCCTAATCCTAAGTCACATCAGCATGAGTGGACTCTCATGCCCCTATAGAAGGATATTGACTTCTGATTGCTGGGTAGGGGCTTTGAGTTTTGTATTTAAAGCCAAATTCTGCCAACAGATACTTACATGTGACTCCCAGTGGTTTTATGGGGAGCCCCATGTCTGTATCCAAGAGCAGAAGTTGGCTACAGGAATCACAGTTAACAATTTCTTTTAAAGGGCACAATATGTCATTATTGATTATACAAACAGAGGTTCTGTTATAAATCTTTTGTCCATAGTGATCACAGGCTACAGTCTTATTTTGCTTGTGATTTGGGCATCCTACTTACATACATTGCCTCCTTTCTGTGTTGTGCATGCTTTGCCTAGATTCCTTAGTTGCTCAGGTATCCCAGCAGATGCACCCTAAAATATCTGTGGCTTGGCTACTTCAGCATAACTTGCTAATTGCAGGAGGCCAAGTCTGATACACAAATAGTTAAAGAGGAAGAATGTGTTAGCATTCTTTAAATGAGGTCTGCTTCATGTTTGTACACACATGCTCTTTTTAAAAATTCTGCTGGCATATTGTTTATGGTGGGTACTGGAAAACATCACATCTGCTTGCATCTTGCACAGAATCTCAATAACTCTATCATTCAGCAGTAGTGCTTGTTTCTGTGCTAGGCCTTTGTGGAGAGTCGATAATGCCTGCCATCTGCCACAGAGCACACAGCTACCTGCCAACAAGCAGGCTGGGGTGACCTCTGCTTCCCCACCACTGATTAGTATTCACACGCTGGCTTATTAGGAATGACCCCACCAGGCCCCTCTGTTTCTTTGCCTTTGCAGTGCTTGGCGGCTCACCTGGCAGGCACTGCAGTGGAGGAAGCTAAAGATATAATCAGGGGATGCAGGCAGGCTTTGCAAAGCAGATGGTGTCTATAGTCTTGTGTCAAGGGACTGGACTGCTAATGCAAAAATTAATTCCTAATATTCAAATATTATATATTGTAATGAATAGCTATATACTGTGGAGGCCACTGTCAGAGGCTATTGAGTTACCAAGTTACAGGGTATTTAATATAAGGAATTACCGCACAGACTAATTGTTCTGACTTCCCCCACTAATAAATTAGACCTTTTGTAGCAGGTTGTTTAACTGTTCAAGGTAGCTGGAGCAGTTGTTTTCTGACTCCTAAAGTTTCATATCTTTTTACCCTTAAAAAAGTAGTAAAACTCCTGCAGTGCCTCCTTCCTGGTTAATAAATATTCAAAACCATTTTTCTTACATAAATGATTCAATCAAAATACGGAGGGATAAAGAAAACAAAATGGAATGCACAAATACTTTGGTAAGATGCTATGAGATTTTTTTTTCCTGTTCCTTTGCTTCCTAAAGATAAAAACCAAATATGTTTCTGAATGGAAGGGGGGAAAAAACCCTCTTCCAGCCCTGATTATAGCTCCCTGTTCCAGGTTTCAGTGCGATTTACAGAGGAGAGATCTAATACTTTCTTACTGAAGCATGTCAGCACCGCATTCTATTTTTTTTTTCTCTGTGACAGGAGAGAGCAACGTCTGAAACCCTTAGTCTTTCAGAAATGTTCTCATGACTTTGTCAGCACAGATACACTTATTTTAATATTATATTGCGCCAGATGAAAATTATAATTGTAATCTACACTCTTGCTTGGAATCTATCCCTTGATTAAAATCTGTCCATGAGTAATTCAGATTCACCATATGTCATGAAAGAAGATTTTTTTCAATATATTCTAAATAAAGGATCAAGGGAGATTAGATGAAAAAGTGAATGTTGGGGGATGGTGGAAATACTGTGTTTTATCCATGGGAGAAGAGTCCCTGGCTCACCTGTACTCCTGTCACATCACCATTTTCATGTTTCAATTACACTTAAGAAATCAACATTTGGTTGTGTCTTCCATCTGTCCTCTTATCCTGTCAAACCAACAATGCCTGAAGTATAACCAAAGACAACATTTACCACATGGCTACATTCTAAAGAAGTGGAAAAGAACCTCTGAATTCTCCCAAAAGATATATATTAAAATATAGAGCTACAAAGATTACCAGCTATGGTGTGGGTGTTGGAGTCCAATCAATTGACCAGCTGTTCTAAGTAACATTCAAATTTAGCAATATATTTACGCAAGATTTGTGGCTAGTAAGAGGGATATGTGACACTTGTAGCATTTGCAAGTCTCCAAGGACTGCTGAGCCTGAGACCAGTTTTTCTTTGTTTACATTTCTAGAATAAGTGGATAAGCCGAAGCCCCATGTTACAGAGGAGAGTGTACCATTCCATGGCGGCTGTCCAAAGGAGGCTTTATGTTTTAGGCGGGAATGATTTAGACTACAATAATGATCGGATTCTTGTACGCCACATAGATTCTTATAACATAGACACCGACCAATGGACACGCTGCAGCTTCAACATGTTGACAGGCAAGTCTTTTGCATGAAATGTACAATGAAAGCAATGTTGTGGGAGGGTTTTGTTTTGTTTTGTTTTGTTTTGATTCAGGAGCCTAATTCTCCTCCGTTACAGCACTTTTACAAAGGTGGGCCTCCACTGACTTCAGTGGAATCACTCCTGATTTAGGAACCGATGCAAACCCCATTGAAGTCAACAGGAGCCATTGCCTTGCTGCTCTAAGAGAGAAGAGAATCAGGCAGAAAACATTTAAGAAGAGTGTTCTTTTAGAGCATTGCAGGCTACATTTTCAAAACGATGCAACTAAAAGGGGTTTAATTAAACAATCAAAATAATAAAATGATTAAATCTTATTTCCCCTTTCACTAGGTGCTTAATTGCACCAATGGAAATATCTCACTTTTTTGAGTACACAAAGGCAATTCAACTATACCTTGCACTCCATGAAAGTGTAGTTTTATAGGGTCTGCTGCTACTGGTGGTAGTGGTGTTCAGAGTATTTATGGAGATGGATAACTGTCCCAGACTTATTACTACATAATAGTGTCTTAACAGGATGCCAGAAAGGAGTTTATTTATTAGAACTAAATCAAATCAGAGATGAGTAGATTAGCATTGACGGCTGCTGGATTTGCAAACTTCCTCTTGAGTAGCTTGAGGGATCATTGCAGTAACAGCTAGCAAAGCAGTGCACCTCATTTACCTCTGTCACACACATTACCTAGCATCATGACTGTGTGATGTGCCTCTCAGAAATACTATTGAGTATAAGCAGCAGGGAGATACAGCCCAACATTATGCCAGGCAAGTAATGTGTCCCAGGAGTAAACCAGTGGCAGCTGCCTAGGGAGCCGCATTGAAAGAGGCATCTCCAGAACCTTACTGCAGGAATGCTGAGGTCATTCAATCATTGGCCTGACTTGAACAACTGTTCCTTCAGCTGCGGAGTTTCTGTCCGCCCAAATGCTGGTTCTTGCTTCTGCTCAGTCAGCTGTAAGCGTCCTAGAATCTTGCTCGGTTGTTGCTCAGAATCCTTTGTATAGGCACCGCAACAACTTTCTTGATGCAGCCCAGCAAATGAAGCAAAGGATTCAGGAGCTAAAGGCTGAGCAGCAGCGAGAACAAGGAGTTTGCGGAGTTGGTTAAGTTGAGGGAAGGGAGTAATATACAGTGGTCACCAAATCCCATCTTCAGGGATTCCTAGGTTGCTTTAAGGGCCAGCCTGATGTCAACATCATTCTTTTAAGTATCGCTTTGAAGTTACTAGTTCTGGAAGCAAAGACATAGATAATACACATGTCTGGCTGTTTGGTGGCTGAGTCAGGGAATCAAAATGCTAGACTTAATTGAGTGAAATGGTGTTGTCATAAATATAAAGGGAAGGGTAAACCCCTTTAAAATCCCTCCTGGCCAGAAGAAAAATCCTCTCACCTGTAAAGGGTTAAGAAGCTAAAGGTAACCTCGTGGCGCCTGACCAAAATGACCAATGAGGAGACAAGATACTTTCAAAAGCTGGGACGAGGGAGAAAAACAAAGGGTCTGTGTCTGTCTGTGTGATGCTTTTGCCGGAGACAGAACAGGAATGGAGTCTTAGAACTTAGTAAGTAATCTAGCTAGGTATGTGTTAGATTATGATTTCTTTAAATGGCTGAGAAAATAGCTGTGCTGAATAGAATGAATATTCCTGTCTGTGTGTCTTTTTTGTAACTTAAGGTTTTGCCTAGAGGGGTTCTCTATGTTTTCAATCTAATTACCCTGTAAGGTATCTAACATCCTGATTTTACAGGGGTGATTCCTTTACTTCTATTAAAAGTCTTCTTGTAAGAAAACTGAATGCTTTTTTCATTGTTCTAAGATCCCAGGGTTTGGGTCTGTGGTCACCTATGCAAATTGGTGAGGATTTTTACCAAACCTTCCCCAGAAAGTGGGGTGCAAGGGTCGGGAGGATTTTGGGGGGAAAGATGTGTCCAAACTACGTTTTTTCAGGAACCCAGATAAAGTTCGGTGGTGGCAGTGGAAATCCAAGGGCAAAGGGTACAATTAATTTGTACCTTGGGGAAGTTTTAACCTAAGCTGGTAAAAGTAAGCTTAGGAGGTTTTCATGCAGGTCCCCACATCTGTACCCTAGAGTTCAGAGTGGGGAAGGAACCTTGACAGGTGTTCTCTCATATCGATAGATACCTGGAACTGGTAAAACAGGGGAGGGAATAAACTTTGTTTTAAATTAAGTTTCCTTTCCATCCTTCTCTCCCCTTCAATGCTTTTAAAGGTGCAGGATTGACAGCCTCTGGCAAAGAACCACTTTGTTTTTTGCACGGAATAGGCAGCACAACAGAAGCAGTGGCAATGCGGGCTTCCTCACTTTGGATGTGCCTGAGCACCTCTGAAGTCAATGGGATCAGTAGCAGGGCCTGTGCTTCAAACCTGACGTTGAAGGAATGGTTCCAAGGATGAGGGTAGTTTTTCCTCTCTGTACCTTCAGTGCTCAGCCTTTCTGTTGAGATTGCCACTAAGGATTCAACTTAGAGCTGTGCTTCGTGATGGGACACAGAGTTTTAAACAGTTTTAAACAGTGTTTACATTTTTCTAGAATGTCATTAACATGCGCAGATTCCTTAAACAAGCTTTTCCTATTTAAAATAGGAACAACTTCTGGTTTTAGCTATACTCATCTAACCCTGTAAAATTCAAGAGGTCTGCACAGGTGCCAGTTTGGCTTCATTGGTCTAACAGTGTATCTTATTAGAGTAGTATGTTTATATTAAACATATGGAATACACACACACGCGTGTATAGTTGTAGATACACGCACAAGAGACTTAATTCCTCTTTCAGAGATGTATTGGTATCTACTATTTCTTAATGTTTATAAAATATACTTTTCTTTAATACACTTTAAACTTTGCAGTCTGTTCCCTATTCAAGTGTTACTAACCTGGCTTGCAGTGTGTGGTTTTTGGCATCATCTCTGTCCTTCAGGATAGCACTCAAATTGCATTCCTGGGGATAGTACATGATAAGCCCTTCTCTCCACTTTAACTGCCAGGAATTGGTAGTTCTGACACTGTCATGTTACAGCAAATCTATGTGTATCTCATGAACAAAATCTCTAACTTTTGATGCTAACAGAGTTAATTAAAAGATGCAAGTGCTTTCGATTTCCTTTTTGCTTTAGGTCAAAATGAATCTGGCGTTGCTGTCCACAATGGAAGAATATATTTAGTTGGCGGCTATTCTATTTGGACAAATGAGCCTTTGGCATGTATCCAGGTGAGAGATTTAGGTTCTTTTGAAGTCTCTTCAAATGTTTCTGCAAGGGTCCTTTTTGCATAGCTGTTATCAAAAAGCAAAATTTATTTGAAGTGGCAAGAGAAAGAGATTAGGGATGATTCTTATGCAGTCACTGAATCTCTAAAACATACCTGGGAAATGTTGTGGATATTAACAGATTTCCAGGTTAGCAATTAGATTTAATACTTCTGCATAAAATTTTCTGGGACTATAGATTGGGCAATTCCTCTCTTGACAAGATTTGGGTAAAAAAAAAAGCACTTGCATATTACCAGGTGCCATGACACTTAAAGTGTCTAAATGGAGGGGGAATGTCCTATTAATTTTTCAGCCCTCTCATTTTCTATAAAGAGGTCAGAAATAACCAGTAATTGATCTAGGTCAAAATTTGGGCTGGAACACCGCAACCTGCCTTAGTTGTGCATGTGTTCATTACTTTGGAGCATGTTTTAAAGTTCCACTGAGAGCTTTGCCATTGGTACTAGGTTCTCCAGTAAAGTCTTCTGCTGCTCTAGAGTCCATCATAACAGCAACTGCCCTCTTGATCCTTGGCCTTTCATAGATCCCCAAAGCTGTAAATAACCTGTGAAAGTGGGATTATAGAATCACAGAAATATAGGGCTGGAAGGAACCTCAGGACGTCATCTAGGCAGGACCAAGTATACCTAGACCATCCCAGACAGGTGTTTGTCTAAACTGTTTTTAAAAACCTCCAGTGATGGAGATCCCATCTCTTTTGGAAGCCTATTCCAGTACTTAACTATCCTTATAGTTAGAAAGCTTTCCTAATATCTAACCGAAATTGCCCTTGCTCCAGATTAAGCCTATTACTTCTTGTCCCACCTTCAGTGGACATGGGGACACTGATCACCATCCTCTTTATAACAGCCCGTAATGCATTTGAAACTTATTATCAGGACCCTCTGTCTTCTTTCCTCAAAACTAAACATGCCCAGTTATTCTAAACCTTTTGTCATTTGTTGCTCTCCTCTTGACTCTCCAAATTGTCCACATCTTTTCTAAAATGTGGCACCCAGAACTGGACACAGTACTCCAGCTGAGGCCTCACCAGTGCTGAGCAGACCAGGATGGTTACTTTCCATGTCTTACACAACATGCCTCATGTCATACTACTCTCCTGTTAATACATCCCGGAATGACTGCATCACATTGTTGGCTCATCCAATAACTCCCAGATCCTTTTTTAGAAATATTACTGCTTAGCCAGTTATTCCCCCTTTGTATTTCATTTGATTTTTCCTTCTTAAGTGTAGTACTTTGAACTCCCCTTTATTGAATTTCATCTTGTTGATTTCGGACCAATTATCCAATTTATAAAGATCATTTTGAATTCTAATACTGTCTGCCAACCCTCCCAGCTTGGTGTTATCCACAAATTTTATAAGTGTACTCTCCATTCAAGTAATTTATGAAAATATTAAATAGTACCACACCCAGGACAGGCCTCTGTGGGACTCCGCTAAATACATCCTCACAGTTTGACAGTGAAGCATTGTTAATTACTCTTTTAGTACGTTCTTTCTACCAGTTTTGCACCCACCTTATAGTAATTTCATCTAGACCACAATTCTCTACTTATGAGAATGTCAGGTGGAACTGTGTCAAAATCAAAATACATGATGTCTACAACATCCTGGCCCCTGGGCCAATAACCCTGTCAAAGAAGGAAAGTAGATTGGACTGGCAAAATTTGTTCTTCACAAATCCATGTTGGCCATTACTTATCACCTTATTATCCTCTAAATGCTTACAAATTAATAGTTTATTCCAGTATCTTTCCGGGTAGTGAAGTTAGGCCAACTGGTCTGTAATTCTTTGAGTCCTCTTTGTTCCTTTTTTTTAAAGTTTGGTGCTATGTTTGCCCTTCTCCAGTCCTCTGGGACCTCACTTGTCCTCTACACGTTCTTAAAGATAATCGCTAACCATTCGTTCGGCTAGTTCCTTATGTACCTAAGGGTGATTTTTGTCAAGATCTGTTGAAGTGAATACATCAAACTTATCAAAATATTCTTCAACCTGTTCTTTCCCTATTTTGGCTTGTATTCCTTTCACCTTGTTAATTTTAATTGTGTTGAGTATTCAGTCACCATTATCTTTTAAGAAAGACTGAAACTAAACAGATATTAAACACCTCCACCTTCTTGAGGTCATCTGTTAATAGTTCTCCTATGCTAAGTAGTGGAACTACATTTTCCTTCAACCTTTCTCTTGCTCTTATGTATTTATAGAACCTCTTCTTATTGCCTTTGATGTCCTGTGCTAGGTGTAACATATTTTGTTTCTTAGCCTTTCTGATTTTGTCCCTACATGCTTGTGCTATTGTTTTGGACTGATCCTTAGCAATTTGTCACTGTTTCCACTTTTTGTAGGATTCCTTTTTAATCTGCAGATCATTAAAGAGCTCTTGAGGGAGCCGTATCAGCATCTTACTATTCTCCCTATCTTTCCTTCTCCTCAGAATAGTTTGCTGCTGCACCTTTAATATTGTCTCTGAGAAACTGCCAGTTCTCCTAAACAACTTGTTCCCTTACATTTTCTTCACATATATTTCCCTATGTTTTAAGTTTGGTGGAGTCCAATATCTTTATTCTGCTGCTCCCACTCCTTCCTTTCCCTATAATCATTAAATCTGTAATTGCACGATTACTTCCATCCAAATTGCCTTCCACCTTCAGATTTGCCTCAGTTCCTCCCTGTTACAGAGTAACAGCCAGGTTAGTCTGTATTCGCAAAAAGAAAAGGAGTACTTGTGGCACCTTAGAGACTAACCAATTTATTTGAGCATGAGCTTTCGTGAGCTACATGCATCCGATGAAGTGAGCTGTAGCTCACGAAAGCTCATGCTCAAATAAATTGGTTAGTCTCTAAGGTGCCACAAGTACTCCTTTCCTCCCTGTTACTCACCTTGTTATTTTCTCCATCTTCAGAAATAATACTGTCCCTAATACATTTGAAGAACTTATTGGACATTTTGTTTTGCCATACTACTTTTCCAATAGATGGCTGGATAGTTAAAATCCCACATTACTACTAAGTCTTGTTTTGGATATTTATGCTATTTTTACTAGACATTCCTTATCTAACTCTTCCTGACAGTAGACTCCTACATGATGTTGCCCCTGGTTTCCCACATATACTTTTATCTTCACCCAGAGACATTCAGCTGGTCTGCCAGTCACCTCCTTCTGGATCTCAGAACAAGAGTATATATTCTTGATGTATAATGCAACACCTCCTCCCTTTTCCCCTGCCTGTCCTTTGTGAACAAGCTGTAACCCTCAGTATTCTAGTCACGTGATTTATCCCACCAAGTTTCAGTGATGCCATTAAGATGTAATTTCTTATGTACCAATACTTCCAGGTCTTCCCCATATTCCTTGTATTTGTGTATAGACATCTAAAATGTTGAGCAGTTCCCCCACTGTTTTCTCCCTTGTTGCTTCTATGACCCTAATGTAATTTTCTATTCCCCGACATCTAGTAAGGTCATTTTCACACACTGTCTCTCTCTCTCTTTCTCACTTAGAGCCCTGTGTGGATACAAATTTATATCTGCGGATATAAATTGGCCTCCACGGAACCGCAGGGCTCTCCCGGGAACCACAGCAGCGAAAGGAGCAGAACGTGGGGCCGCCGCTCCTAGGAGCCAGCGCCTCACACCGGCAGCTCCTCTGGCTTGCTGTACCGCCCCCAGTCCTGCCCACTGGGGTAGGCACCAGGCTCATCAGCAGCTGTCCCTGGACACGCTCTTGTGTTCAAGCGGTGTGCACAGTTGCAGGGCAGAGCTGGGGGCAGGGCTGCGGGCAGTATAGCTGTGCTGGAAGAGCTGCCAGCACTGGCTCCTGGGAGTGGCAGCCCCAAGTTCCACTGCTTTCTCAGCTGTGGTTCCCAGGAGAGCCCTGTGGTTCCACGGATACTGATTTATAGCTGCAGATATCCACATACATGGATATAAATTTGTATCCGCACAGGGCTCTCTATATACTTACCTCTGGGCTTTAGGTGACTTATTTTCATTTTTCTGAGTGATGCAGTGCCCCAGTTGTAGAAACATCAGTGATGACAAGTTGAGAGGGATAACATAATTTACTTGGTCAATTGTAAATGGAAAATTAATTCACAATGGCTTGGATAGGAACACTGTACAGTGCACAAAATGTAACAAACAGCACAATATCAAATTGGGAAACGTACTAACAAACACACTTGTTTATAATCTGTGGGACCTTTTGAGTACTATTTCATCTCTGTTTAAATACTACTTGATGGGAAGTGAAAATGCATTTTGGGTCCTGCTTTTGCGTGGACGTTTCCCCACATCACAGAACCATCTCAGAACTGGCAGTCTGCCCAAGAGAGACTCGGGCCTAGAAGAAAAAAATATAACAAATGAGAAAGTGCTTTGGCAGAGCTGTAAGTGTTGACTACATATGCTCTCAGTTGCTGGCACGCTGCCTAGCTTTAACCAGCACTATAAGCCCTTCTATTTTCAAATTCAGCATGCTGTTCCCTCTTTCTGAAGAAAAGCACTTTTCTCTGGATGCCTTCATTTACTCTGTCATTCAGCTGGCCCTGAGTTCCCTTGCTCGTCTAAATACCAGTTTGATAAATGATTCATATTTCGTAGTAATGGTTTAGTGTTTCAGTGCAGAGTTCTACATGTGCAACCATGCAAGTGTAGAGCTAGTAAGTGGGATCAAATTTTACCATTTGCTATTAAGTGACGGCTAGGATAAGATTTGGGTGATATGGACATTAATACAGCACTTGATCCCTAAATAAAAGCCATTGGGCTGAAACTGCATTTCCTTGGGATTAATAAGTGTATACAATATGTGCCAGCAAATTTGTTGCCTATTTCTTCTGTGATCCTTGAAATATTATTTTCAGCATTTTGGTCCTGCAGGTGCTGGATATTAGCAAGGAAGGGAAAGAAGAAGTATTCTACGGGCCTACACTTCCTTTTGCTTCTAATGGAATAGCAGCATGCTTCCTTCCAGCTCCCTATTTCACATGCCCGAACCTCCAGACTTTACAAGTGCCTCACCACAGGATTGGCACTATGTGAGAAAAAGAATGCACCATCCATAAAAGCAAATGGGGGGGAAAAGCGCTGCATACAGCAATTTCACATTTGGATCAATTAAGCATGAAATGCTGCTTTATCTTCTACACATTTGTCTTAAAGTCAAATAACAATAGGCAAAAAAACGAACATTTTTTTCACTAAAGGCTCCACACCTCAGTCTGCAATTTCTCTCTGTCCCAAATTAGGAACATACACTTCATACCAACCCGTTTGCCATTTTCTCTGGGTGACAACTTATTACCTGCCTCTATTTAAATTCTTTATGCATCTTTGAAAGGCATTCTGAGTGCACCCAGCATCCTGCCGGGCCTATTGTTCCTTGGGGTCTGCACATTAAATGGATGGCAGTGGCCCTGTTCAAAGACAATATAATACAATGTTTATAAGCTTAACAAGGACAATATTCTATTATGCTAAATTATTCAACTTCCTAGGTACCTGTGGCAAAAAGGATAAATGCATTGACCTTCAGTTCCCAACTTCTTCACCACTGAAGTTTCTCATTTAAGAAAAATTTATTGGAAATTTAGATAGCGTGAAGCATAATAAAGTAAAAAAACCACCAAACCTCTTTCCTCTTTAAATGTATTATGGGCATCTACCAAGAAACTGATTTTTTGCATCTCATCCGAATACAGAATACACTGAGGTTTCAGTGGCTATTACTGTACAACAGTGTACTGAACCTACTTGTCGAAGAAATTGATATACAAAATTATCTTTATTTACCAAGGTCTACTTTTAAATGTTATCTTCTATCAGATGATCAATCCTTCCTGATACCGGCAATCTTTTAATGATTGGAAATAACCTCTTTACTATATAATTAAAATGCACCATTTACTTCATATTTTTAGTAGCCAGTTTGTAAAGGGTTACCATATTTACAATTCTCAATGAACAGTCTCATTTTGTCCAACATATGGTACCACAAATCACTGGCTTCCAGAGGCTAAATCGGTGTATAATAAAGTTTATATAAATTGAAAGAATAAATAAAATATTGTCTCCCCCTGCAATACTCCAGGCGTCTGTACAATTTATAATAATAAAACCAAACCATTATATTCTGGTTTTCTCTGGCTATTGTGACCCCCTGCCCTTTTTTTTTTTTTTTTTTTGATGTTTTTGCCATTTATTTGCATATATGTGACAACATGGGTGTTCAGAAATATTAACCAAGAAGAATACTATTAAACCTCTCGGTTGATGACCTACGGCCGCAATGTATTTCTCTGATCTATGTACTTATAGGTCCCACAACACCACAATATTTGAACAGATCTCAGAACATAGAATTCCCGTTGCTATTCATGGTAATTTCAAGTCCAGAATAGAATCAAGGAATACCCAGTGCATTTTTGGAGAGGAGCATTTTGCTCTTAGTCCGATGAGAGCTGTTACTGGGTCAAATAAATTTGATCGTACAGATGGTAACTCTTTTCAGGGCTACTGTTAGTGATAAAAGGAAGTTCTACTTATCCCATCTGATTCTTCTTCTTGGAGTTGTCCTTAGGAAACTTCACCTTTTCAATGTGTCAGCATAGATTTTGTATCAAAAATTGTTTTGTCAATTGTCCTAGACAACTTAAAGGTAGACAGGGTCGAAGAGATCTAACTGCATATTTGTCACTGGGAATGATTATCTGAGCACTGACAATACTTTCTTTCCATGAAGACTCAGCTGTGAAGTTTAGATCAAGATATTTTTCCCCCCTAACTGCATGGCTCATGGGTCTCGAAGGTGTCTGAATTTTTTATTTTGCTTTTCTCTGGTCTCCTGCAGACCAGCATCCAGAGGCATTTCTTAGTTTCTCCATACAGAACAGGAATTCTTGAAAGTAATCTCCCTACATAGTGTATGGGGTCTATGCCTTGCTTTGTAGTTGGAATCTCCAGGACTGAGTTGTTTGTATTTTCCAGCAGCATCATTTTATTCTCTTGGGAGCGTGGTCTAAGTGATGGGAGCACGGGTCTGAGAGGCCCCCAGCTTCTGATACTGGTTCTGCATATGAATGAGTCATCAACTTCTAGTCTGATTTCCCCCATCTAGAAAAGGTGTATATAATACTACCCATTTCACTGGTGTTGGGAGAACTTATTGAAGTTTGTAAAGCACTGAGACAGACAAAAGTTCCCAGGATATTTTCTGCATTTACACATCTTGTTTTGGTATTTTAATTTCTGTAAACCCCAGTCCACTCACCAGTCCCCCATATGGTCAACTAGCCACAGCTGTGAAGTTATAGTTAAAAGGTTTCTTTCAGAAGAACAGAAGATTACCATTTTTTTAACTGCCCGTTTACTCATGGCAGCAGGCTGCGTAGAAAGTTTCTAGAACTTGAAGTGGCATTAGTTTCCTTATGCAAAGCTGCATGTGCCGTACAGTTCAAGGACCGACAGACAGGAAAGTATATGGCAAGAAAAAGTAATCATAGTTGCTCTGGTCTTTCGACACTTTTACTGCTCTGGTTGTAATCATCAATTGTCTATCCTGGTGAATAGCAGTTTTAAACAGCTGTGCAACTGCATTACATTAGTCTTAGAGTTCCAGAGCCAGAGAACATAGCCCATGCTTCAATTAGTGTCAGGATTCTGCTCCAGCAATCACAGACATCTTTCATGTTGACCACTTACCTTTATAGAATCATAGAATATCAGGGTTGGAAGGGACCTCAGGAGGTCATCTAGTCCAACCCCCTGCTCAAAGCAGGACCAATCCCCAAACTAAACCATCCCAGCCAGGGCTTTGTCAAGCCTGACCTTAAAAACCTCTAAGGAAGGAGATTCCACCACCTCCCTAGGTAACACATTCCAGTGCTTCACCACCCTCCTAGTGAAAAAGTTTTTCTTAATATCCAAACTAAACCTCCCCCATTGCAACTTGAGACCATTACTCCTCGTTCTGTCATCTGCTACCACTGAGAACAGTCTAGAGCCATCCTCTTTGAAACCCCCTTTCAGGTAGTTGAAAGCAGCTATCAAATCCCCCCTCATTCTTCTCTTCTGCAGACTAAATAGTCCCAGTTCCCTCAGCCTCTCCTCATAAATCATGTTCTCTAGCCCCCTATACCTTCTGCATACTGTGCTATTTGCAGCTTCAGTTATAGAACATGCAGATTTACACCTGACTCCAAAAGGGAGGAGGAATTCTACTTTTCAGTGCCTAAAGTTAGGGAGTGCCATTTATCTTTTACCAAGTGAGAGATTATGCAAAGAGGTGCTCCCTGGTGCCAGCGTGGTATACTGTCCTCTAGGCAGGAATGGGGGTGAGCAGGTGATGGTTTTGAGAAGGCAGCTTTGACTAGCAACTGGAGTTCTGTAGGAGTCCTGCTGGCGGAGGCTATGCAGTGGATGCAATTGAATCAGCACATCCCCAACTAGCGCTACCCATTTCTGAGGCTGGACGGGCTGCAGGCTCCTTGGTGTGGGTGCCTTCCATAGGCCCAGTCTCTAGAGACTTCAGTGGTGTGAAATTTACCAAATCTTCTGCCAACGCAAATCTTGGAGTGAGTCAAACCCAGCATCCGTTCCTGCCAAGTCACCAGTTTTGACCCTGCGGTCCAATAGAAGATATGTCCAACTGCTATTTTTTGACAGAGCCTTAAGTTGTCACTTTACTTTTGGACCAGAAAAGGAAAAGAATGTTTTCCACATGGCCAGTCTACTGTATGAGTGAAAGAAGAAGAGAAGAAAACAGTGGGAAAGCTGATGGTAACATAATTCGCTTGGGCTTCCAACTGGAGAAAAGAGTGTGGAGTAATGGACAAGATCTCAAGCAATAACTCACTCAAGCCTCTTCACCAGCTTAATAAGGGGAAATAGCGGTAAGACTGAATAATTCAGTAGTGGGGCTATACATTGTTGGGATACAGGCCATGTGGGTACTGCTCATTTTCTTATTTTTATTGACTAAATCTGCTAGCATCTGGAAATAGATCTTTGAGTCACAAGATCTTGAGCTGTAATGAATCATCCAATACTTATATCCTGTGGTCTATATTTTAGGTCACACCCATAAAGAGTAATATTTACTTTTTATATAGTGCATTTTGTCCCAAAGGATATGGAGGTGTCTTATCAGTTGTACATTTAGGCACCACATCACCAGTGACTGAAATTCAGCCATCTCGTGTGGCTTATCTGATGATTCCTGAGCATAGTGCTAAGACACTGGTTTGACACAGATGAAAGAACACTGATAACATCAACTTCACTTTCTACAGCATCTTCATTTTCCCTTGAGCATTTCACATCCAAGCACTGACCAAAGAAATATTGAGATGTTGTGGCCCAGTTGTCAGTATCAAGAAAATTTTGTAGAATATGTTTTTTAAAATCCCAGTATATCTATTGTATGCTGTATATTCATGATTTATTCACTTTCAGGTAGAGTACCTGGACCTGAGATAGAATTACAAAAGTTTGTACTGTTTTGCCTTGAGGTTTGCCTAGGGTTCTTTTTTTCCCCCTACCCATATAGAAATTTAGTACATCAGTTGCAGGATCAGGAAGAAAGAGATAATTGAACATGCACACAAGCAGAAACAACTTAGAATGTGGAACAAGTGTGAAAAAAGGCAGCATCTGTTTACTGAAAATTAAAATGTAGAATAAATTAAGAGGGCAAGTTTACAATACTTTCTCCACAGTCAAGAGTTTGCAGGGAAGGAAGACTTGGCAGGCAGTTTAAGAATGTAGATTATGTAAAGGGATATCATCATTTTGTTTCTGGGAAAATTACTTAGAATTTTTTCAAAATAATTTTTGAAAGAAAAGGAGAGAATATCAGCATTCAAGGGTATTTTCAGTAGAGATTATCTTGTTATAATGCAAAGCTACAGCAGCTTTTCTATAATGCTCAAAAAAACTCAAAAAAATTATATATAAGAAATCAAGATACCTTCTGCAGGAGCACTGCTTGTCTAAGGGTATGTCTCCACTACGAAATTAGGTCGAATTTATAGAAGTCGATTTTTTAGAAAGCAATTTTATACAGTCGATTGTGTGTGTCCCCACTAAGCACATTAAGTCGGCGGAGTGCATCCACAGTGCCGAGGCTAGTGTCGACTTTCGGAGCATTGCACTATGGGTAGCTATCCCACAGTTCCTGTAGTCTCCGCCGCCCATTGGAATTCTGAGTTGTGCTCCCAATGCCTGATGGGGCAAAACCATTGTCGTGGTGGTTTTGGGTACATGTCAGTGGCCCCTCCCTCCCTGGAAGCAACGATAGCAATCGTTTTGTGCCTTTTTTCCATGCAGGCGCCATACTGCTTTCAACAGACGGTGCAGTAGGACTGCAAACCATCGTCATTGAACAACTGCTTCTGCTGCCACTCTGCTCTCCTGGTGCCATGAATCCACTTCACAGGTCCTCTCGTCATTCTTTATAAATATCTATTCTCCACCGCTTCTGCTGCAATTCTGCTCTCCTGCTCTTGTCTCACCATACCACGGCAAGCGTGCAGCCCGCTCAGCTCAGCTTACTGACACCGCCGCTGTTGTGTCCTGGTGCTGCTGGCAGCAGATGGTGCAGTAGGTCTGCAAAACTCTGCTGTCCTGCTCTCCTGGTGGTCTAGCAGGTCCTCTATATGACAGTCGTCATCCGCTGCAACTCCGCTCTCCTGGCCCCAATGAATCCACCTTGCAGGTCCTCTCATCGTTCTTTATAAATATCTATTCTCCACTGCTTCCGCTGCAACTCTGCTCTCCTGCTCTTGTCTCACTATACCACGGCAAGCATGCAGCCTGCTCAGCTGACGGTGCAGTAGGTCTGCAAAACTGGTCATCCAAACACCGCTTCCCCTGCAACTCTGCTCTCCTACAGACACCATATTACGGCAAGCATGGAGCCCGCTCAGATCACCGCAGCAGTTATGAGCACTGTAAACACCTTACACATTATCATGCAGTATATGCAGAACCAGAACCTGCAAAAGCAGGCGAGGAGGCGATGGCAGTGCGGTGACAAGAGTGATGAGGACATGGACATAGACTTCTCTCAAAGCACGGGCCCTGGCAATTTGGACATCATGGTGATAATGGGGCAGGTTCATGCCGTGGAATGCCAATTCTGGGCCTGGAAAACAAGAACAGACTGGTGGGACCGCATAGTCTTGCAGGTCTGGGACG